TTGTGTAATCAAGTGAGGTTGACTCGCGGGTGACATCACTTGATTTCACGGCGGTTGTACACGCGCTTGGATTGCGGTCTGGGGCGTGACACAGAGCCTCCTATATAAGAGCTTATTTGACCTTTTTATATAAGTTCGAGGGCCTATTTGACCATTTCCCCTTTTTATAATTATCCAAGTCCGGTTTGATCTGGTCTGGGACGAATTACAATCCAAGTAAAAACATCCTAAAAAGTTAAAGTTAATACCTAATATTAGTCAAAGCAATAGTTAAAATTGATATTTGTCCATTTAAGAGTCAAAATGATAATTGATACTCCCTCCGTCCCGGAGACAAGTTCCACTTTCCTTATTTGGATGTCCCAAAACAAACTTCCTATTTCCCTAAATGGAAAGTTATCTTACATCAAAACAGTGCCAAACAATGTCGAAACAGTGCCAAACAGTGTTGAAACAGTGTCAAACAGTAAAATTTACCCTTCAGTAACTTTATTTCCTTAAAATGTGTGAAAATCAACCCGGGAACAAGTTCCCGGGACGAAGGGAGTATTAGGAAAGTTATTTTCACTGAAGAATGGATATACCTTGTACTCCCTCCATCCCATTGGACTTTGCCTACTTTCCTTTTTTACTTGTCCCAAAAAACTTTGTCACTTTCCTATTAAAGCAACTAATTTGTTGTTCTACTCATTTCTCTCTCTCCTCTGCACAAATTTCAACCACACAGTTTTTACTATTCTTATTTCTCACCTACCTTGCACTTGACAAAGTCTACCAGCACGGAGGTAGTATTGAAAAATAAAGTGAGATACTACTAGAATATCTGATATTCAAGTGAAATTGAAAGAATTTTCTTAAAACTAACTCGAGTGATTGTTCAATCATTGTTTCGTTTCATTCAAATGTATATGTAAAAATTAGCTTTTTACTGATTGATCAATGACGAAAGGGTCATTTGAGTACATCAACTTGTATGTGGTAGAGTAAAGAGTACACTATATTGCATCTGATATTTTTAAATACACAAACTCCTTTTTTGTGTGTTAATTGAGTATATCTGGTAGATTAACACGTTAATTCGTCTATGTGGGCTAACGAAATGCAAATAGGTTGACTCCTTGAAGGTCAACACTAGCTGTCGGCCCCTTGATTGACTTTCCCTTGGTTAACGCCAGCCCCCCGCAGATCAGATCGGCCTCCGAAGGTCAACTTTCTCTTTTTGGTTGACTTTCTGAAGATCGTTGTCATAAAACCGAAGTGTATGTACTTACGAACGTCAAATGCAACATAATTTAATCTTTATTTCAACTCATACAAATTGACGTACTCAATTGACTTTTAGCTCATTGATCAATCAGAGTGACATAGAGAGCCCGTTTGGAGAACTCTGTTTTCGGCTTATCAGGCTTATCAGCCAGCTTTTTCACCAAACACGTAACTTTTACTTTCGCGCGCTGAATTGTGTAATAAGCCGAAAAAGTAAGGTTGGAGTTACTTTTCTGGCTGTATTGGCTGAAGTTACTGTAGAGGACCATTTTAGCTATTTTTACATATAATTTTTTCTTTAATTTATTAATAAAATATATTTTTAAAATATTTTTTTCTTAAATCAGCAGAATCAGCCAAAACAGCCACTCCAGCCAAAATATCATAAATTTCAGCAGAATCAGCCAAAACAGCCGATTTTGGTGCTACCAAACGGGCTCAGAGAGTTAAGCTAAGAATTTAAGAATATGAAGTACAAATAATTGTGAGAGCATAATTGATTGTTCTAGTGACTAGAACTTGCATCTTTTGAAGGGTCACAATTAGCGGATGAGACAAAACCAATGGAATCACAATTCGTATTGATTTGGAAATTTTACTCACAATTCGTATAGGATACCGTTTTCTTATCGGCTACATAACCCCAAAACCTATTCAAACAACGCACAAAATTTCTATTCGACTCCGGAGAGTTTAGCAGAGAGCAGAAGAATCATGGCGACGACTGCGAGCGTGTGGAGTAAGCCTGGAGCCTGGGCCTTAGATTCCGAGGAGAACGAATCGGAGCTTCAGCAGTTAGTTAATGGAGACAAACAATCGAAAGGCGGCGTTGGCGGCGGCGGAGAGACCCTTTCCGATTTCCCTTCTTTGGCAGTTGCCGCATCCACCAAGCCTAAGAAGAAGAAAGCTCAACCCTTATCTTTGCAGGAGTTTTCCAATTACGCATCCGCTAGGCAGGCTCCGTCGCTGGATACGGTTTCCCTCCCAACAGGCCCCCGCGAGCGGACTGCTGAAGAACTTGACCGCTCCAGGCTTGGTGGCGGGTTCAGATCTTACGGTTCTTACAACGACAGGCCTGCTCGTGACGATTCTCGCCGACAAGCTCCTCGCGAGTTCACGCCTTCTCGTGCTGACGAGACTGATGATTGGGGAGCGTCGAAGAAATTTTCTCAGGGAAACGGGTTTGAGAAGAGGGAGAGGGGAGGGTTCTTCTCTGATTCGCAATCTCGCGCTGACGAGACTGATGATTGGGGAGCATCGAAGAAATTTTCACATGGAAGCGGTTTTGAGAGAAGGGAAAGAGGGGATAGGGTAGGGTTTTTCTCAGATTCGCTATCTCGCGCTGACGGGTCTGATAATTGGGGGGCGAATAAAGCTTTTATTCCTTCCGAGGGTGGTCGGAGGGGGGTTGAGAGGAGAGGAGGGTTTGAGTCAAACGGGGGTGCTTCTGATTCAGATAACTGGGCAAGGAAGAAGGAAGATGATCATCCGCGGAAGTTCAGCTCAGATTCTGAGAGTTGGGGGAGAAACAGAGATGAAGGAAGTGGCAACAGTGGCAGACCAAGGTTGAATTTGAAGCCTAGGACAATTCCTTTAGGTGAAGGGCATCAAAACGGAGATGGAAGTGCAGGGAAACCGAAAGGGTCGAATCCATTCGGGGAAGCTAGGCCAAGAGAAGAAGTTCTGAAGGAGAAGGGGCAAGACTGGAAGGAGATCGATCAGAAGCTTGAGTCCCTAAAGATGAAGGGTGTTGGGAAGAACAGCTTCGGGAGCAGTAATGGGAGATCTTCACCTGAGGACAGCACAGAAAAGAGTTGGAGGAAGTTAGAAGGGAATGACTCCAGGTTGGTGAAATAGGCGTTCCTTGTTTATTCCACTACCATTGAAAATCCGGTTTTTCTGAATGTGTCATCGTGACCTCCCACTAGCTATTAGGTTTGGTTCTATTTGTAAATCCATAGACATACACTAGCAGTAGTTGATGCTTATGAGTGATCATCAGGTGGGACAATGTAGCTTGATTTTTACTTACAAGTATTTGTGGGCGTAGTGGACATTTAGTTGTTCAAGATTGTTATTTTAAAGTGGATTTTTTCCTAATAATAATCTGTAATTACTTGTCATATAAATGCTGCTGCCATAGATTGCCTAATGCCTAGAATGGTAATGGTCCATATGGGAACACCAAAAACATGTTAGGGAATTCTATTTTTGGTCATTTTACTGTGATGGTAATGTCAGTTTTTTGTTTCGTAACCTCCAAGATTTATCTACATCATCTGAAAGATTTCTTAATCATGGCTTCAAAAAGTTTACCCGTATATCATACTCATAAATTTATTTTGGGTTAAATTTTGGACTTCTTTGAGCTATCCAAATTTGTTAAATGGAAAATTTGAGAATCGAAAGTGATAGTGCATCTTATTAACAAATGAATACATTAGGTATTCTTTTTCTAGTTATAACATTGATAAACAAATTTCACTTATATACATGGCATTATCAATTATACTCTAATACTAGATTGTTTGGTTTGAATGAACTTTTTAAAAGGTATACACCCGGCACAAAGATTGGTCTTTTCAAGCTATTTGGAAAAGTACACTATATGAATTATGAAATATATTTCTAAACAAAACTGCTTCGTTTTGTTGTACCCAAAAAGTGCCTTTACGTCACAATATATTCTCACCCCATTGTTGTTTGAACTTCGGGGGGAAATGCTTCCTGCTTACACACTTGTTTTTTATCTTACAACTTTCTTTACATCTATGTTCCTTATCCTAAGAGCTTTATCTAATTGCAGACCAGAGGAAACCGAGCAATCTATGGAAGAGTACAGAGATGGAGATTGCAATGATGCGGAACCTCAGCAAGAGAAAAACTAATGCTACGCTTCTGCAGAAAGAGTTTTGACCTATTGGGCTACGAAACATTACACTAGTTTCTTAGTTCCTCTTTTTTATTATTATTCTGGTAATAATGTGTAATTTCTTTCATTATAAATGTGAAAACATTTATCTGATGAGTGCAGTTTTGTTCTGCTGAGAGTGTAGTTGATTGATTTACATTGTATTATTAGCAAGAACTGGAATAAAAGTCGTTTGTCTTCTTACGGTGTATATCTGCTTTGTTGTTTATGCTTAGAATTGTTTGTTTAAGCTGAAGTGAAAGAAATCCATGAGTATTTCAGTATTTGGCTGGTGTAAGTCCTAATTCATCCACTGAAAAGAATTGGGTGCCTTTAGTGCTAGCTTGTTCCATTGCCAATTTCATACTATCGTAACTTTTTAAAATTAGGGCGGTTCTACCCAAGATGGAACGTGGAAGGCATTATAAGTAGACTGGATCCTCCCCTAGTCATTATAAACCAGCTCAAAGAAGGGAACGGAAACCTCCATTCGTTTTACACTTTTACTTATGAGTCGTTTTCTTCCTCTGGCTTTTATTTATTGCCAATTAGGAAGGGAAAGTTCCTTCTAATTACTGTACAGATTTAGAAGGGAGCTGGTGAAGTGCATTAAGTTCAAGCATGCCCTCGTGGCAAACTTCATAGTATGAAATAAAGCTGGAACTTGATGATTTAATGGGGAGGAGGTTTTACAACGGCTGTGGCCTGTGTGAATGAGTATTTTCCGTACCATGTCAGCAGTAGGCTCATAAATAAATGCGCCATTGGAGACAGTTGATTGTTGTAATGCCACACCCCACCTATTCCTAATAAATTCTTCAACCATTCTTCCTCTTATTATGTTCACATTCAAGATTTGAACTTTACAGCTTCTGCTACTCTTCCCAGCTTTATTTAACCCTGCCCATAACTCTCCATCTGGTTCTGCACCATTCTTATTCCTCCTCATGGATTGGCATTTCAAGCTTTCCTTTGCAGCATTCCTGGTCTTAGCTCCCACCATTTGTACACTCACACATGGGCTGACCATCATCTCTGGAACGGTCTTCTGCGACCAATGTAAAGATGGCCAGATTTCTCTCTTCGATTATCCTGTTTCCGGTAATAGTTAAAGAATGCATCTTTGTTTTGTTTTCAAAAGAAGATTGACTGGTTCTTGATAATGACTTAGGACATTTGTGGTGCAGGGATAAAAGTTGCAATGGCATGTCCTGATGGGAACGGGCAATTGACAACCAGGGGAGAGGAAACCACGAATTGGTTAGGCACTTTCAACATGAGGTTTGATGAAACTTCAGATTTGAGCAATTGTTTTGCCCAGGTTTCGGGAAGCGGTCAAGCATCAGGAGGAGCCTGTGGGGCAGTGAGCGGTCCTGCTAGACCTCTCAAACTAATGTATAACATGTTTGGTATGGCAATGTATGCTGTAGACACTCTGATTTCCCAGCCTGTACAGCCAATGTCCTTTTGCCCATCTTCTTCCGTGCCTGTGCCCGCGCTCGTACCTGTTACTCCATCACCCAAGCTGCCTTCTCCACCAGCATTCGTGCCTGTTACTCCACCACCCACGATGCCTTCTCCACCAGCATTCGTACCTGTCACTCCACCACCCAAGGTGCCTTCTCCACCAGCATTCGTACCTGTTACTCCACCACACAAGGTGCCTTCTCCACCAGCATTGCCCATCTTACCTCCAATGCCTCCATTTCCATTTCTTGAGGCTTCCGCCTGTCCATACGGGTAAGGTTGATCATGAGTTATTACAATTACAGGTTGAACTAGACAACTAGTTCTTTCTAGGTTATCTTTGCTTTGTCCAGAGAACTGGCCGAAAAGGTATCTAGGAATTCATCAAAGTGCATTGGAAAAAAACTGAAATTAACAGTATTGTCAATTCGATGAGTAGCTTAAAATCATATATGTTGACATATACTCCCATGAATTTGGATTAACTATGATACTATATTTAGACTTGAGGTTGCATCATAAAATAGTGACATATATGATACTCTGATTTGTCAAAGTGCATTGTAAATAAACTGAAATTAAAAGTATTGTCAAATTGATACGAGTAGACCAAAATCATATATGTTGACATATACTCCCATGGCTCAACGCAAGATCATGAATTTGGATTAATTATGATACTAATCATACTATATTTAGACTTGAGGTTGCATCATAAAAAATTGACATATATGATACTCATAGATTTGTCATTTCGTATTAAGCCAAATCGAAAGAAATGCATTAACAACTACCTAAATCCTAATCTTGATTCTTGATGTGGGCTGGTGGGGATGTGTATGTGCAGAAAATGGATGATGCCTGAATACAGATGCTACTGGAAGGTTGTAAGTCCAGATACAAAAGTGGGAGTCGTTTTCGGGCTGCTAGCGGCAAGAAAATATGGAATGGAGATGACGCTGTGGGAAGGGTTGAACGGGAGAGGGGAGGCCTACAAGACATTGCTGAGGGAAGGCACAACTGCACTCCTCAACTCCTACAATTCGGTGCAGTACCCTTACAACCCGCTGGGAGTTGTGGAACGCATGAATTGGGCGTTGATGGCGGGGTCCACTCGCCAAGTTCTCCACACAGCTCTCAGTTTCATGAAGGCTAACTATGGATTTGGCCACCCTGCATCTACCTGCAGATTCACTTCTTGCACCCCCAATTGATCATGATAATTGTTTGTTCTATTGTGATATTATTATTATTATCACTCATTCACTCATATATACCATTTCTCAGCTCCTTCATATTGCTACTACTACTATATGGTTGATGAATATGAGCTGAAACACGTCATTTATAGTCTATAGAATGTTATGTACTTACGTAAAGGCAGGTCCTAACTCATATTGTTTTTCAGTGTATCCCGGAGTGCTTCGTATTATATTTACTGTATGGGGTTTGTATTTTCCCATACGTGAGAATGTGAGATGCCACAATAAAATATTTTCACTTTTGTTCTTATCCACGGGTTCATTAGAGGTTTTCACTTGAAGTGATTTTTTTTTTAGCTAGTCTGATCTAGTATGGTCTTTTTAATTTTGACCTAATTTTTTCAAATTTGATCTGGTCTCAACCGATCTAGTATAGTATCATGTATGTTTGCAGCGGCGGACGCAGGATTTCCCGATAGCAGGGGCGGCAGTAGAAGAATATACATACAAATACATATATATTAAAAATTTCGGGGTAAATATACCTAGAATTTTTTTTTTCGGAGGGGCGGCAGCCCCTCATTGCCCCCCTTTGTGTCCGCCGCTGTATGTTTGACTACTATTTGGTCTAGCCTGTTTAAGACAGTTTGATATAATCTGATATGTTTAAGCCTAATAAAAAATAAGTCTAGACTAATTTGGTAAAATAGTCCAAGTGAGGACATCCACATTGTAATATGGTTCATTGCACATTTGCCCTAAACATGATGAGAGACTCAAGGAGTGAGCAATATTACCATCATCGTACCTTTGTGTATACAACCCACGATGGTTCCATTCCTCACCACCAAAGAAACCATTATTCCCATTAACTATATGCACATTCAAGCACATGATCAAGAGTCAATTTATATGGTATATCCATACCGCTTCAAAAAATATATAAGTACTTTAATCCTCTTATCCATTTAACATTGCTTTATTTTATTCACTTATTATGCTGCTTATGAACATACGGAGTATTACGTAAATTTTGTCTCACTTATGTTATTGAAACACAATATTGTGGAAAAATAATCTCAGCCCTATTTGAAAATGTGTTATAGTTTAATATTATGTGGAAAATTTAGTATTCCAATGATAGTATTATAAAAGTTTAAGTAAATATAAGCACTTTTTTTTATTAAAAGGAGATTATTTCCTAGACCACCGAATATGTGCGGACAATAGTGATGTTAACCATTTATCAATGCACAAAAACCATCAAAAGCCATAGGGTGGAGAGAATATTGGGACTTTATAACTACCTCTAACTCTTGCTTGATATAAAGAAAGAGACTCTCATAGGCTAGAGAGAATGATAAACAAATAAATACGATAGTATACATTAAGAAAAAGAGAGAAATAGATGGCTATGGAAAAAATAATTTTGTGTTTAATTGTATTGGCGTTGACCGCATTATCAGGAGGGCATGCTGACCAAGGAAAAGAGTCATGGGCCAAAAAACTTAGAAAAGGGCACCAAGCAGTGACCACTCTGCAATTTTATTTCCACGACAAACTGAGTGGATCAAGCCCAAGTGCGGTCCGCATTGTTGAGCCAACAAGGGCCAGCAAATCTCCGACCCGCTTCGGAGTGGTGATGATGGCCGATGACCCATTAACAATTGGGCCTGATCCAAAATCGACAGAAGTGGGACGAGCCCGTGGGCTGTATGGATCAGCTGGGCAGAAGGATCTTGGGCTTATCATGGCCATGAGTTACAGCTTTACGCATGGCGAATACAACGGAAGCTCTTTTAGCCTTTTGAGCATTAACCATGCTATGGACCCGGTTCGCGAATTGGCCGTGGTCGGTGGGACCGGCCAATTCCGGCTGGCCCGTGGGTACGCGCTAGCCCACACACATTCCTTGGATGTTCCCACCGGAGATGCCATTATTGGTTACAATGTCACCCTTATTACAAACAACTAAATATTCTTCTCTTAATTCATGCTAGATCAATCAATTATTGTAAATTAGGTCTAATAATTTTTTTTATACATCGGAAAGGAATAAGGTCTAATAATGCTTAGCTTATTACCACGTAGATAATTAGTACTGGTTTTATAATTATTTGTTTTGTAGGCTTTCTATTTGTCATTATTCTATTCTTACTTTTTTAGCAATGGAACGGCAATTTTGATAAATATGTCATAACGCAAACTCAATGCATTTCGGCATTTGTAATTCCAGTTTTCTCTTTATAATTCGATCTCCTAAAAGTGCTTCTCTTTATCGGCATTTCTTTATAAGTGCCTTCTCCATAAAGATCAATAACAATATTACGGAGTATAATATAAATAAATGATTAAATAATCATTTAATTCAACTAAATACATGAGAGATTGATAGATATAATACTCTCTTTTTATGGATACTATAGCACACTAAATGATTCATCCTCATTTACTTTCCTGGTTTACAAAAAAAGGCACTTCAAACTTAAATGTGTATTTAGTTAATAATAACCCAATATAAACTAGACTGATTAGATAAGAATTTTTCAAACCAATGTAAAAGAGGCTGATTTCAATGCATAGGAACCGTAATGAGAACCAAATGCATTTAGTTCAGTTTTAAACTTTTTTTTTTAAATCTTAACTCCAAATAATCATTTGTATAGAGTTAAGCTCATTATGTTACTAGATTTCCAATAACAAAAAAAACTTCGTACACATATAAAGGAATGCCATGATATTATCATAGACAAAAAATTAAATTGAAGGATTAATTATATGTCACTAATGTTTCAAGGGAGTTCAGTATGCATATATGTAACGTTTTTAATTACTTTAAGAGAATTACCGAAATAAGACTAAAAATGTTTGGGAATTCCAAAATAGGACGGTCATGTTTTTATTTCCAAAATAGGACTACTTTTGTCATGTTTTGACAGTATCAGGCTTCAAACGTGACAATACTTTTCAAACTTGACAGTACGTAATTACTCATATTTTGGAAATAAAAAACTTGACAGTAATTACACACATATATTGAAATTTTCAAAATGTTTAAATCCTATTTCGGGAATCTTCCCTTAGTTTTAAACACCTTTGAAACAAATCTTCTTCCGTACTAAAATCACGAGTTTTGGTTTTCATTTCTTTGTTTGGTACCGGGAAACCAATTCAATTGACGTATTTGATTTTGGAGTGTATTTTGTATATTCCATTTAGCAAATTTCATAAATACTCCGTATCATAATGTGTCTAAAACTATATACAGCCATAACTTTAAACAGCTCATACGAAATGAGAATTCTTGCATTATTTTAAATATGTTCATCAAAATAAAGTATTCAAAATATCTTATAGACTTATACTCCAAAAACTCTTAAAATATTGAATGTTCTTAGTTGGAGTATCGAGTAAGCTATAGTAAAATCAAATAAAAAAAGAGAGAGAATTATTTAGAATTATTTTTTTAGAGTAAAATCAAATACATCAATTATGTTAGACAGTTGGCATAAAAGAAGAAGAAACTATCAAACTACGAGTTTTTATTTAGAGAAGAAGAGAATTATTAGTTAATGTCCAAAAATAATTATTTTCTTTCGTCAAATAATGTCCACAAATGATTGAAAAAGCGGTTAAATTTATGTTTATTTTGTCCATTTGAAATTAGAGCCAATGTTTTACGCGTACTTAGGATATTTTTACTGGACTATAATTTGTTGATCTGGTCTGATCTGTTTAAGTATAGTCTGGTCTGTTGAACTCTGGTTTGAACTGGTCTGTTTAACTCTGGCCTGGTCTGAACTGGTCTTGTCTGGTAAATGTCTAATCTCTGTGTATTTTATAACTACGGAAGTCAAGTTTGCTTTGGTCTGATGATCTGTTTAAGTTTGGTCTGGTCTAATTTGGTACTTTGGTTTGTTTAAGTCTCGTCTGGGTTTGTCTGTTTAAGTCTTGGCTGGAACTGGAAACAGTCCAAGTAAAAATATCTTTATTTCAGTCTCAATTCAGACCAGATTATATCAGACCAGATCGGATTTTGATAATTATAAAAATAGGGAAGAGGTACAAATATATCCGTATAGTTTGAAAGTGATGGACCCGGGCCGGGCCGGGTCCGGATCGGGCCAAGGCCCGGGCGGGCCGGCGGTTCAGGATTGGTGGACCCGGGACCGGTCCGGGTAGCCACCGGGTCCGGGCCGGGCCTCCGGTATGGGTATTTTTTTTTTGCTTTCCTAACCCCCCCCCCCCCTCACCCCCCCATCCTCCCAAACCCCCCATACCCATCCTAACCATCAAGCCCAACCAGGGTGGAACCCCAAAAAATGAGGAAAAAAAATCAATTTGGCCCGGACCCGGGCCTGACCCGGCCGGGCCGGTTCGCCAAATGTGAGACCCGAGCCTGGACCCGCCCTCCCCCCTGGGCCTAGGCCCGACCCGGACCCGAGAACCGGGCCGGTCCCGCACAGTAGCGGGCGGGGTGGCCCGACCCGAGTCCACCACTGGTTTGAATAAAGGAACAAATATATCTTTGTTCTATTTTTGGGAACGTATAAACTCCTGAAGTTTATGTGAAAATGTATATGTACCCCTATTCTATAACTAAATTTCAAAAAACACCACAAGTGAAATATAAATCTAAAATTGAAAAAACGTGTACTTCTATCAAATTCTCCTTTTTATGATTTTTATATCACAATTAAAGATTGTTAGTATAAAATATTATTTCAACATTTTACTGTATATTAGATTCTTTTAGAAAAGTGTTAACATATGTGTTGCAATGTACAAAAATCATTAATTTTTTGTATTCTTTCACTATAAATTACTCCGTATATATTTTGTATGATGATAAATAAATCAAGATTAAAAAATAGTGAATTTAATTTTATTGAGGTTAAACAAAATCAAATAATGTTATTTCAAAAACTGTAACAATGCGTTCGAAATTTTGCAACAAGACTAAATTTAATATTTATGAATTTGTAGAGCTTCATTTACAACAGAAAAATTATAATTTTGCAATTTAAAATTAAAGACTTTATATTTTAATATAAAAGTAAATCTTTATTTTTAACTCCTTCAATTTTTTAATTTCAATAACGAATTAATAATTTATGTTTGGTGTTTTTTTAAATTGATTTCATTTATTTAAAATCAATAACATGAGAGATATTTGTGCACCTTTTAAAAGTTAAGAGGTATATATGCAATTCCACATTAACTTGAAGGGTGTGTTTATTCCAGAAAAACTGAACAGATATATATATATATATATATATATATATATATAGAGAGAGAGAGAGAGAGAGAGAGAGAG